CCGGCGTAGGCCAGGACGAAGCTGCAGAACTTATTGAAGTCCTCGATCGTCCGCCGGCGCTTCTCGGGGGGCTGCGGGAACCGGCAATGAACGGGGGATCGGGGGTCACCGTGAACAGCGGGATTCTCCGTTAACCCCCCCCTCAAAGCCCCCCGCCCGCACCGGGAGGGGTTAAACCGCACCGGAGGATTTAACAGAAGGGGAATCCCCGACCCTGCGCCCCTCCCGGTTCCTCCCGGTTCCTCCCGGGCTCACCTGCGGCTCCGTTTTCAGCGTCGGCAGCGCTTCTGTGGAACGGGAGGAGACGGAGTGATCGCACCGGCACCGTGTCCTCCCTCCCTTCCCCCGTTCTCCACGTTGTCCCGGGCCCCCCCCGGGACCGGCGCTACACTTCTCCCGGGGAACACCCCCTGTACCGGCGCTGCCAAAGCTCCGAACCCGCCCGGTACCGGCTCCGGTCCCCCCCCCCACCCCAATCTCTGTTCTCCCCGCTCCTCCCGGTCCCGCTGCTGCCGCTCCCCCCGGTCTGGGGCATCTGAGAGCTCCAAATGCCTCCCGGTACCGGCTCCAAACCCCCCCGGTACCGGCACTTTCAGGGCTCTGCTCCCCTCGTGTCCCGGTACCGACGTTCCCGGTTGTCCCCCACCTCCGGAGCTCCAGCCCCGCCGCTACCGAGACTTTGGGGGCTCCAAATCCTCCGCTACCGGGACTCTCAAGGCTCCARCCCCGCCGGTACGGGAGATCTGAGGGTTCCAACCCCCCCGGTACCGGCGCTCTCAGGGCCCCCCCGTACCGGCGCTCTCACGGCTCAAACCCCCCCCTCTCCCGGTCCCGGCGCTCTCCCGGTTCCAATCCCCTCTTTAACCGGGACTCCCAAAGCGCTTCACTCCCCCCGCTACCGGCTCCGCCGCCCCGTTCTCCCTCAGCGCTCCGGCACTCCCGGGATCTCCCCCCCTGCTCCTTTCCCGGTTCCCCCGCCCCGGTGCCGCCGCTTTGCTCTCATTCCCCCCCCCGTTCTCCTCCCTCTCCTCTCCCCTCCCGGTACCTCCGTGCCCGGGCTCGGCCATGGCCGCGGTTCCCCCCGGGCCCCCCCCCGGGTCCCCCCCGGTTCCGCGGTCGCTCCGTCCGGTGCCGCCTCGTTCCGCGCCGCCCCCGCCACGCCCCGCCCCCTGCGCGCTAAGCCACGCCCCTTTCCATCAGCGCGCATGCTCAAACCCCGCCCATCACCCAAACCACGCCCCTCACTGACCACGCCCATTTAGCCACGCCCCTCCCCGACTTCACCTCACCCTCTGCGCACGCGCGCGGATCTCATTATGCAAACCACGCCCCCACGCGCCGCGCCCCACCCACTGCGCACGCGCGGCCACGCCCCCACCCTTTAAAAGCCACGCCCACTTCCGGTAGAGAGGCTCTGAGGCGGCTCCGTCGCTTTTATTTGAGGGGAGGGAACGGAAAAAAAATGGGGATGAGGGGAAAAAATGGGACCGGGAATGGCGGGGGAGGGAAAGGGAAGGGTTCAGGCCCCGTAGACGCTCTCGTCGCTGTAGGCGATGTAAAGGAAGAAATCCTCCTCGTGGTGTTCCTGAGGTAACGGGGGAGAAAAGAGTCAAACGTGAGGGAAAAACTTCTTCAAAAATTAATTTTAANGGGGGAGAAAAGAGTCAAACGTGAGGGAAAAACTTCTTCAAAAATTAATTTTAAGGGGTTCCCAGCATAGAGAACCCTCCGTAAAGATCCCCAGGACAGAGAATCCCCTCAAAATCCACAAAACCCCCTCAGGATTTTCCTGCAATTTTGGGCTTCCCCCCCCCCCCGCCCCAAGTTTTTGGACTCTTCCAATTCCCTCCTGAGGATTTTGGGGCTTTTCCGAGAATTTCTGGGACATTCCCCTCCCCTCAAGGATTTTTTAACCCATCCCAAATTTTCCGTGAAAATTTTGGGGCCTTTCCAACACTTTTTAAACCCCCCACACCCCTTCTTACCCAAATTTCCCTCCCCCACCCCAATTTTCCTCTCCATCTTTCCCAAATCCCCCTCCTCCCACAAATTTGAAAACCCCCAGAATTTTTTTTCCCCGATATTTTTAACCCTTTTTTTTTCCCTTTTTTTTCCCCTTTTAACCCCTTCCCCTCTTTATTTCCTTTACTCTTTACCACTTTTCCATCCCCTCTTTACCTTCCCCCCCTCCCAAATTTTTTCGGGGCTCTCCCAAAATTTTTTAGCGCATTCCCCTGGGGTTTTTTTTCCATAAAAAAATATTTTTAGGATTTTTTTGGGTTTTTCCGGACCTGGTAGAGCTGTCCCATGGTGGCACTGGTGGGGGGGATGACGTTGTTGACGAAGAAGAACAGAGCGTCCTCGGCTCTCAGRTGAATCCTCTTCCGGATCAGGAAATAAAACTGCCCCACTTTGGGAGTAAAAAATGGCTTTAAAACCACCCAAATATTAAAAAAAAAAATCCTAAAATCGTCCAAAAAAAACCCCTCAACATCAGCCCCGTAACAACACAAAATTAACGCCAAAAAATCTCCAATATCAGCCCCAAAACAACATAGAATTAACCCCGAAAAAACCTCCAACATCAGCCCCAAAACAACACAAAATTAACCCCAAAAAACCTCCAATATCGGCCCCAAAACAACATAAAATTAACCCCAAAAAACCTCCAATATCAGCCCCGAAACAACACAAAAATCGCCCAAAAAACCTCCAACATCAGCCTCAAAACAACACAAAAATAACCCCAAAAAACCTCCAATATCGGCCCCAAAACATCACAAAATTAACCCCAAAAAACCTCCAATATCGGCCCCGAAACAATACAAAATTAACCCCAAAAAAACTCCAATATCAGCCCCAAAACAACACAAAAATCGGCCCCGAAAAACCTCCAATATCAGCCCCAAAACACCACAAAATTAACCCGAAAAACCCAAACAATCACTCCAGGAAAAAAACCTCCCCCAAAAAATCCCAAAATCACTCCCAAAAGCAACCCAAAAATCGCTCCATAAATCGCCCAAAAATCGCTCCAAAAAGCTTCAAAAAACACCCTAAAAAACCCCAAAATTCCCAAAAAAACCCAAAAAAACCCCCAAAAAAACCTGTCAGGTCCGAGGGCACCAAATATTTCTTCTTGTCCAGGTCCCCAATTCGGGCTTTGGGTGCTTTTTCCACGATAACCTAAAAAAAGGGGAAAACTTAAAATTTTGTGGGGAAAATATTTGGATTTTGGAGGAAAAGTCGGCATGAATTTTGGGGGAAAAAGGTGCGAATTTGGGAAAAAAAAAATCAAGCTGAATTTTGGGGGAAAAAAGTGAATTTGGGAAATAAAGGCCTTGAATTTAAGGGGGAAAAAAGACGTGAATTTTGGGGGAAAT